GACGGACGGACAGACAGTCACCGCTTAATCGATTTCTCTTTTCATTCTGATCATTTATGTATACATTTGTCTATATCTATCTCGATTCGTTTTGCCTGTTACAAACAACCGTTATGTGAACAAAGTTATAATGCCCTTGTGCATAAGTGCGCTCGGGTATAGAAATTATTGTATCATGCTTAAGTTCAAAGCAAAGGTAATGAATAAATAAATAAAATATTTTGAAGTTTGTCAAAGTGCTCCTATAAAAATAAATTAATATTCCCCATTTTTGTATCCTATAACAGCTACGTGATCATGGAAAATCTTCGTTATTCGCTATATACTTATCAACCTGAAATGAGCGTATTTTTCGGATATGAATTGATGCAGCAAAATGTGGTAAGTTCAATTTTAAAAATTTTTTTCATTCGGCTATTCCAAATCAAACGTAGAAAGATTCTGCGCGATGGCATTCGATTTGGCTAAAATTTTGCATATGGGTCATTCCATACAATATTTACACCTCAATATTTTTTTGGGGGTGAAATATATTTCTTTACATCCTTTATCGAAAATCTCGAAATGAAAGTGCATGGCCTTCGCATGTACAAAAACTTAAATTTTTTGAGTTGGGTTGCCACCTATTTAAAATTACTATCTTCTATACATAGTATAAAGGAAAGGCGAGATATTTTGACCACGCTACTGAATGGATTTAGACAAGATTTTTTAAGCATATAATAATCGTCGGCCGCTGTGGTGTAGTGGTAAGCAGTGTGCGCTTCCGCTCCGCAACGCCTGGGTTCAAACCCTGGTCAAAGCAATTTCGCAAAAAATATAGAAAAAATGGTTTTTTCTTAAGAGCGGTCGTCCGTCGGCAGGCAATGGCAAACCTCCGAGTGTATTTCTGCCATGAAAAACAGCTTCTCATAAAAATATAATCGCTGTTCGGAGTCGGCGTAAAACTGTAGGTCCCTCCGCTTTGTGTGACAACAAAAAGGCGCACGCCACAAATTGGAGGAGAAGCTCGGCCTAACACTAATATATGTGTAAGCGCCAATCTGTTATTATTATATCAATAAACGAAGTACATGATAATATATGATTTTATAGCGCGTGGGCTCACACTTTTATTAATATTTACTAGAGAAAACGAATATTATGATCGCAGATACTTAAAAACTAAAACTCCTTTTTTATCTTCACGTGACGACGTTTTTTCAGAAAACTTTTCTTGACAAAGAAGAAGCAGGAACGGAAATCGAATGTCACATTGCCTTGACAGATGTTGCTGATTTTTTGACATGTAGCGACGCAGCGTTGCCACATCACTCCCCCTCGTACCTTGAAGGGAGCCTAACCTTGCGACCGGAGCGTGTTGTTAATGGTGGTTTTGTTGAGGACCGGTCTGGTTGAGTTGCGTTTTCTTCAACCGTGTATGCTGCTTTCAGTCTATCGATGCTGATGTTGGTTGCTTTCCCGTTTATTTCAAGTTTGTACCATTTGTCGTTGCGCTGCAGGACTTGGTATGGCCCTTCGTATGGCGGCTGCAATGGCCGGCGAACGGCGTCTGTTCTCACGAATACGGCGGGGGCTGTTGATAACCTTTTTTCGATGAAACACGCCGGCCTGGCGTGGTTTGAGGTGATTGTGGGTTTTAACCCCTGCATTCGGGTTCGCAGGCTGCTCACGAATTCATTTTCGTTTGCGATGCCGTTGTGAGAAGGATCGACGAATTCTCCCGGGAGTCTGATACCGCAGCCATACGTCATTTCTGCTGGAGTCGATCCGATATCTTCTTTGTAACAAGATCGGTATCCCATTAGAATAAGTGGTAATACGTCGACCCACTGCTCGGTTTGGAAACATTTCACCGCGGTTTTCAGTGTTCGGTGGAAACGTTCGACGAGTCCATTTGAAGCTGGGTGATAGGCTGTAGTTTTGAGGTGCTGGATGCCGAGAAGTTTGTTCAGGTCCCGGAAAAGCGACGACTCGAATTGGCGTCCCTGGTCGGTCGTTACTTTCATTGGGACCCCGAATCTCGCTATCCAGTTAGAATAAAATGTGAAAGCGACCTCTTCGGCTGTGATTGTTGCGATAGGATATGCTTCGACCCACCTCGTAAATCTATCTATGCAGGTGAGGCAGTAACGAAATCCTCGATTTGGCGGTAAGGGACCAATGATGTCCATGTTGACGTGGTCAAACCTCCGTTCTGTCAAAGCGTAAGCTGCGATCGGCGATTTGTTGTGCCGTTGAGTTTTCGCCTTTTGGCAGCGTAAACAGCTTCTGGTCCAATCGCGGCAGTTCCGGTTCATGTTGGGCCACACGAACTTCTCTGAAACAAGTTTAGATGTCTTGGCAGCTCCGGCGTGGCATATGTTGTGGATCGATTCAAAGGCCGTTCTACGAAACGGTTCTGTTATAAAAGGGCGTGCTTTACCTGTGCTGATATCGCAGAACAGTTCTGCTGAAGCGCCGGGGATTTTCAATTTGACTAATTGCAGACCTGAGTCTCCGTTGCAAAACGTTTGGAGTTCGTTGTTGTTTAGCTGGTGTTTGGCCAGTTCGTCATAATCGATGGTTTGGTTGACGTGAATGGCTTCAACTCTAGAGAGTGCGTCGGCAGTAACATTTTCCTTTCCGGGTACGTAGCGTATATCTGTTGTGAATTGACTCACGAAATCGAGATGTCTGATTTGCCTGGGCGACGCTTTTTCTAAGTTTTGTTGGAAAGCAAACTGAAGTGGCTTGTGGTCAGTTAGAATGAAAAATTGTTGTCCTTCCAGCATGTGACGGAAATACTTTACGCTTTTATATGCGGCAAGCAGTTCACGATCGTATGTACTGTAGCGTTGTTGAGCCGGGCTGAGCTTCTCTGAATAAAAGCTAAGAGGCTGCCATAAATCGCCGTCGCGTTGTTGTAACACGGCGCCGATTGCAGTACCAGATGCGTCGACTGCCAACGCAAGTTGAGCGTTGGGGTTTGCAAAGGCGAGAAGCGTAGCTGCGCACAGTTCGTCTTTACAACGTTGAAATGCGTCCTTTGCTGTTTGACTCCAGTCTATTATTGAAGTGTCATTTTTTTTATTGCTTTTGATGAGCGCGGTTAGAACGCTTTGATATGCGGCTGCTTTGGGTAGAAATCTTCGAAAAAAATTGATCATCCCCAAAAAGCGCCGCAAGTCGCAAGATCGTTTCGGCAGGTCAAACTCCTGAATAGCTCGCACTCGTTCTTCTGGTGGTTTCACTCCATCCTTCGATACCCTGTAGCCCAAAAAGGTCACTTCTGCTTTTCCGAGATCACATTTCGACGGGTTGATGACAATGCCGTGTTTGCGTAGCTTTTTGAATACGGCCCGCAAATGTTCTTCGTGTTCTTTTTCCGTTTTTGAAGCTACCAAGATGTCGTCCAGGTAAGGCCAAGCGAAGCTGAACTCGAGCAAGATCTGGTCCATAAACCTTTGAAAAGTTTGGCCGGCATTTCGTAAACCAAAACACATATACACGAATTCATACATACCGAATGGGGTGGTTATGGCTGTCTTCGGTATGTCGCTTGGCTCCACTGGTATCTGGTGATAAGCCCGCCGTAAGTCTATTGTCGAGAAAATTTTGCATCCGTGAAGCGCGTGTGTAAAGTCGTGTATATGTGGTAGCGGATACCTGTCGGGCTCTGTGACGTCGTTTAGTCGTCGGAAATCTCCACACGGTCTCCATTCGCCGTTCTTCTTTTTCACCATGTGGAGGGGGCTGGCCCATGGGCTTCGTGAGGGTCGGCAGATGCCCGCCTCCAATAGTGATTCGATTTCGGCTTTTGCAGCTTTCAGTGTTTCGGGTGCTAATCGACGGGGCTTTGAAAAAACGGGTGGCCCTTTTGTCACTATGCAATGTGTAACGTTGTGTGTGGTGTCCTTCGGTACTGTTTTTGATGCGCCCATAATGTCTTTGAATTCGTTAAGTATTTCTTGGAAGGGCATGTCGTTGTTGACGGTGGAAATGTTTAAAATGTCGTTTGAAACGTTGACGATTGCGCAGCACTTCGCGATATTTGTAATGTCGTCGAATAGTAAACGATGCCGAAGATTTACCGAAATGTTGTATTGAGCGAGGAGGTCCGCGCCGATTATGGGTTGTGCCACGTCGGCGATAATAAAATTCCATCTCAGCGGACGTCGAAGGCCGATGTTGAGCGTAAGAAGTTTCTCTCCGTAGGCTTTGATTTTCGTTTTGTTGGCCGCATACAGATAGAAATTGGTTTCGCCCTTTTGTCGTTGGGTTGGTGTAGCGGGGATTATGCTGACTTCAGCGCCAGTGTCGATTAGGAAATGGAGTTTGGAAACTGTGTCTCTAATTAGTAAGCGGCGGCTTGGTGAATTGAGCCTGTCGCATGCCGCTACGAGCGACGGGCGTTTTAGTTTAAAGCCTTTGCGCAGGGCGGGCGACATTTTGTTGCCGCGTCGCCGAATTTGAGGTGGTACCAACAGGTCTCTGATGGTGTTTGCGATCTATTTCGTGCTGGGCTTTTGCTGCGATGACGAACTTGCGTAGAAACCTTTGACCTTAGCGCTGCCACTTCTTGCGTTAGCTTTTCGATTTGCTGCGCCAGTGTTGAGTTACGCGCCGTATCTTCGCGAGTCGAGATGGCGTGTAGCTGTGGTCCTTCTCTAACCTCTAAGATTTTATCGGCTAGGAGCGCCACTTTCTCCAAAGGTTCTGTGCTGATTGAAATTATGGTCCGAACGTCAGTTGGGAGGCGACTGATCCAGATTGATCGTAGCATAGCGTCGTTCATCGCGTTACCTGCCAGAATTTGCATCTCCCTGAGGAGTTGTGACGGACGCATGTCGCCGAGCTCCAGCTCTTGTAGCAATTTTTTTATTCGTCGTTGTTCGGACTCTCCGAATCGCTCTAAAATGCGTGTTTTCAACGTCTCATACATGTCGGTAGTTGGGGGGTTTAAGATGATATCGCTGATTTGCGCCAGCACGTTGCTCTCGATGGCGGCAATCACGGTGTGGTATTTCGTTGCATCGTGTCTGATGCGTGCGGCTATGAAGCGAGACTCGACTTGAGCTAACCACAAGTTTGGATTTGCGTGCCAGAATGGGGGTAGCTTTACGGAGATGTTGGCAATTTCCTCGTTTGCACCTAATTCGCGGCTGAGTGCGGTTGGAGGTGTGACTGCCATTTGCGGATGTTCTTCTGCCTTGCTATCCTCGTTGTGCGACTCCATCTGCTGCAGTTTTTGGTTCTTTGTCGGGGTCACCAATTATATAGCGCGTGGGCTCACACTTTTATTAATATTTACTAGAGAAAACGAATATTATGATCGCAGATACTTAAAAACTAAAACTCCTTTTTTATCTTCACGTGACGACGTTTTTTCAGAAAACTTT